ATGTTTACGATAAGCAACAAATTATTTTCAGAGAATTACTGAGTAGCCTATTTGTTTTCTTCGCTCCGAACTTGTAATTTCCGCCGTTGATAGTTTCTAATCTAAGGTTCCTGTGACGCCCATTAGTGCCACTGGCGGTTCGTCCGTTTTCGCGATAACTAAAGACAGATTTCTTGGTCAAGAAAATTACAAACTAAAAGTTTGCAAGCTGAGTTCACTTGATTGAATTGAAGAAGCCTCGATTACATCAGTAACATATCAAACACAACACCTTAAGATGTTCTTGCAAATAGGTCTTGATAATATTTTTACGTCCTTTGTTTCAGGGCATTCTAAATACATTTTAAGAGCATTTTATGTATTATTTTTGGCGAAGTTTTAGGTCATCTAAATCCGCCCCCTAATCATAAGTATATAAGAAAACTCACTTGGAAAATTTCTGAAGAAATAGCTGTCTCACATTTTTCTTCCAGATAAGAGTGGACATAAAACTACCCTGTGACCTTCCCTTGACCCAAATGTTGCGACCGCCGCAGAGCTGCGTGTACATTAAGCTAAGGATTTAAATACATTAAACCTATCAAGAACAATCTTTCGATTAAAATAAACATTTTCGTACTTTCTCTGATTCTCGGTTGCCAAAGCTTTGCCTAGTTTCCTAAAGAAAGGAGGCGCCGACAAATTATTCTGTACTTACGAATGACGTAAAAATTGCATGCGTGAATATGCGTTCCGTGGCGCAGATTGTGTATATTGTGACGATTGCGTATATATTGTGATTGTGACGGAGTATAGAGAAATTATTATAATACTGCATGAAAAACTGCAAATTTTCGACAGAAATATTCTTATTGTCAGGCTTTGGTAACAAAAAAGTGAATAAATTGTGTCCCTTTGTATTGTACATTACGTTTTCTAACAAGTTGTTTGGTCAAAACAATGTTTTGCAGGTCCTTGATACCGAAAAATCGATTGACAGCAAAACGTCTGTATGTCTGCTAGTCCCTCCGTCCGTGAACAATGCACGACTAAACCACAAGCAGGATTTTCATCAAAATTGATATTGCTTGATCGATCTGGCTGATGTCGCCCCCCCCCCGTGCAATCCATCACTCGGATTGAAGGTCTCGTGCCTTGCGAACCGATGGCTGCCAGTCCTTCATGCCCCACTCGGTAATAAGAGGCGTCAGCTTGTTTGATTTTTTCTCTGCGTGGAGAGGATAGTATATTTCCTTGAGAACATGGAAGAGCTGTCTAAGCCTGTGACGAAGCTGCTTTCACAAGCCGCAAAACACCCAGTGCGCCCGTGGAAACCCCTGAGCCGCTGGGCTATCGAACGACGTAACCTGCTGCAAGCGAATGCCGTTCGCGCGATCGGTGGTACAGCGGTCAGCAGAACGGACTGTTGTATCTGCGTTTGCGGGTTCAAACGCGATCGAAGACGTGGATTTTTAAATGTAAAAAATACTTCGGACGCCTTCCTTCTGAGGAGTAGCAAAACCGGTTGTCCCATGTTGCAAATTTACTACAAGTAAAAATCCTAGAAGAAGTCTCTGTGCTAAATTTTAAAAAAGCACTTGTTTTGTCGTCGCCCGAGTAATACCTTCTTTCTCCGCTAGATGGTGAATAGAGCTTAGGTGGCATTGGCGTGGTCCATCGGTAGAGCAGCCCAAAGGCGCGGGTCTCGCCACGTAGGAACAAGGCCTCGAGCATTCCTCGACGGCCGAAGCCCCTTCGCAACTCCGTCCAGTCTCCGCGACAGCACGTGAGTAGCCCCTTCGCCACGCGCCGATCCGGAGAAGGCGTTCGGCGACGGGAACAGACACATGGCTTGGCGCACGTGGCTCGGATCAAAGGTGGCTCGCAATCCCAGATTTGAGAGGGGGGCAAGTGGAGTGGGGGGAGTGACGCCTGTGGAGGGAGCGGCCGCGAAGGCGGGGACGGACGATGGATTGATTGATTGAGAGTTCCGGCGCGTCAACCACTAAGGTCATTATTCCCCTAAGTGTAAGGCATGTTTTCTTCGGAGTGTGGTGGTGATTTTCCCCCGCTGGATGGAGAGATCCAGCGCCGACCTGCCGTCGGGTAGAGGGGATTCCCTCCACCAGGTATTTTCTCCAACCAGCGGGGCACCGCCCCACACGGGACAAGCTCTACGCTCCCGACCGGTCTCCCGGCATGTGTGGTGGTGTAGTGTATATTAGTGTAAGGGTGTGTATGTAACGAGTAAGCAAAGGTCAAGGAACAGGAAGGAAAGATTGCGCGTGTCCGTTACCCGTTTTGTTAGTGTCGGCGTTCGCCTGGTGTTGATCGAAGACAACAAACGTTCCGCACAAGCTCGGCTGGAATCAGTTTGATCATCCGCCATACAGACCTGATCTCGCACCCAGCGAATTTCATCTTTTTCTGCGCCTGAAAATATGCCTGACCTCCCGCTAGCGTTTTCACAGGGACGAAGAGCGGAAGACGACTGTGAGGAGCTGGTTGCAGTCACAGGGGGCACACTTCTAAGAGACTGGGATACAAACAGTGAAAACACGATGTCTCAAGTGTCTCAATTCGTGTGGTACCCATGTCGAAAAATAGCTCAAACATTGCTGCACCTGTTGTCAATAAAGTTTTGCTCGTAAAATGTTGTCTTTTATATCACGAAATACGCAAATGTACTTTCTGGATGCGCTACGTGTCACATATGAAACAACCGAAATCGTCTAAAACAATAAATGCTAGGGACCAATTTAGACTAAAAGCATATTCTGAAAACCATTCCATTATTTTTTTATCTTAATTCAAAGTTGTCGAACATAAATTCAACATTTGTGAAATGAGAAGGCAAAATCATCCACGCGAATCAGTCATCACCCTCATCAATGAAATACAACCTCATTTTCTAACATTTCCTGATCTGCAGTCCCTCCAAACCTGTCAATTCGCCACGAGGCAAGTGCGTATGTCACGAATCGATTCGGAATCATCAGACACCTACGTAATAAGCAAGTATGAATAGTGAACGATATAACATAAACAGAGGGCGAAGTATTGATCCGGTGCGCAAATATTTGCCCGAACGTTCTTCTCGCAGAGCTAAGCACACAGAAATGGAGTGCAATGCAAGCACGAATCACAAGATGCAATTTCGATGTTTGTTTACCTTCATGTTCACAAAGTAAATAACGGATTATTCTCTTCGCATTGCAATTATATGGGCAAATACGATAGCTTGGCACGTCCTAACAAGTTAAGTTTCAACCCAAATTAATTCTCGAATATATCCATAGGGTTCTTAGATAAATCAGCAAATCAACACTTTTCGGGCTGAACGATGTGGTGTCTCAATTCAGGTTCGTTTATAACTTACACCACTTTTTTTCTTCTAAGCGGGTTATCCTGCCATAGCTACCTGTCTTGTAACATACTGTCTTTAGAAACATCTTTATATATTTGAGGGTCGAAAAATATCTCAGCTTCATAAGTGGACGTGGTAATTTTTTTTTCACAGCTCAGAAGATTTTGTGCTTTAATACTTAATGAAACTCGTCAGTAGGTTAAGGAAATTAGGGCAAGAACAGATTATACTGAGAAGATAGGAGCAAATTGAGTTATATTGAAAGCTGAATCACATTGCTTAAGTTTGAAACATAAGGACATCAAGTATTGAAATTTCACGTCAGCCTTGATAGACCATACAAACACAGTCAGGAACATTAGATTCGCTGTGTAATTCATGACTTCAAGGGAAAAGTGCAAAAAATATAAATTTATTACTCCCCACACAAACACACAACTATTGTTACTTGCCTGAAATATCAGTACACATGTGTCTTTTCGAATCAGAGTATTCATAGATAGTAAAAAAGGCAGCAATAATGTAAAGATAACTTCAAGACATCACGTATTAATTTCAGTAAGCATTTTCGGTCATATGAGTAATACAAATTCCTATCTCATTTTCCTTACAAATCATCACTGAATTGTATGTATGTACTTTGGCACAACAGCTCCTTGCGTTCCAGCTTTGCGGCTTTGAATTAAAATGTGTGGTTAGCACATAGACATCCCTACGCCGAATTCTGTTATCTCAATCCGAGAAGTGAGCTTCCTCATCGTCACACAGCAGCAGATACTGCAACACTGCAAAGAAAGCGCACAATTAAAGTTTGAACCGTTCGGGAACTGAACCCGGATTCGCGGCATGGAAAGCGAGAACGCTGGCCCCAGAGCTACCCGAAGGGCATCACTGAATTACGTCGGCAGAATTAACACTCCGTTACATACCGCTGTCTGCCTTCCAACGCTTTGCAATGTATTTCAGTCGGCATTTATGAGAATCAGCCATTTACAATTCAGTTTCCTAAAACATTTCTTGCACTTATGATGATTACCGCGCACGCGAAAAAGCTTTTCTCTGAAACGAATACAGATCACATCGATACTGTTTCTCCCCATGATTCATCTGATGCAATGCGGCTGACTGAATAGTACATTATGATTTTCTCTGAAATGGACACACATTGTATTGAGTAGTGCCTCCCTATTCTTCATCTGTTGTCATGACTGAAATGTTATATCAGATTGGAGGGAAGGGCGTATCCAGTCTATAATATTGGAGGAGGCTATCACAGATTTCTATTAAATAATAAACAGTTGTTATTAAATTATAGACTATGCAATATTATCTTTTAAATAATCACAAGCCTCAAACATAAATGTTTAAATCAAATAAAGGCAGGTAAGAAGCGAAAAGTCGATGTCTTTTGGGGCGAGGGGTGAGGGCTGCATGTGATGCAAAGTGGCTGCGGAAATGTTATTTCGGGTCGGGAGGCGGGGCTGGCTCTTACCCTGGTCGACGCGGTCGGGCGCGGGGCGTCCAGTCCCGCGGGCATCGCGATTCGCCCCCCCCTCCGCACCCCCGCCCCCGCGCGCCCCGGCGCCGCCCGAGGGATCGGCTCCGTCGCCCTCTGGCCGCACCCGGTCATCGCTCTCGCGCCGTCACGCTCAGATCAGCGCCTGCGGCCCTTGGAGGAGGAGGAGGCGACGGGGGCGGGGGAGGCCCCGCCGTTCACGACAAACACCAGGTGGGCGGCCGTGAGGTGAACGCCGCCCCAGCGCTGCCCCCACGAAGCTCCCTCTGCATTTTGGAAGAACTGCAGGGCCAGCAATTCATACTCCTGTCTTCTTTTCGATTTCGGGTAACTGTGCGCCCTTTGACTCCCATGCCTCTGAAGCACACACAGCATTCCCGATTGCAAAGGATGAGAAAGAGTGATCACTCAGAAGTGTGCTGGTAGAATTATGTTCCTGGATCACAACTACAGATATGAAAGAAGTGCGTTTTGGGGGATTTCGAAAGGTAACGCACAAAGACAAACCCGCAAGACCAAAACCGCACACTTAGGGCGCTCCCACGACCTTCGAATCGCCTATTAGGGCGCTCTCTTTTCGTTAATCTCGGATACTTGGCCTACAAGCGACAGTCAGAGAGCCATGCCTCCTATTTTTTCTACTTAAATAAAACTAGTTGAGTGCAAATTTTTAATTTGGCACTATTAATCAAACCTTTTCTACAATCCACCGAATCAGTAATTGCGTCGTCATGAGGGAGCACAGCAATCGTTTGAAAAATGTCCGACATCGATGTTCGTGAGAGACAGCGTTGTGATTGAATTCTTGAATGCAGAAGGTGAACTGCGACAGATGAATTGTGTCACAATATCTCCCTCACTTCGTCGGCAATCACCCAGCGCTCACCCCGTATGATGCCATAGACTTGCTGAATGTTGCGCGGACAGACAGCAGTCATCGACCTGCCCCTCAGCTTTTCGTCGGCCAACGGTGTTTGCCCTTCTGCTTCGTTACGAAGAGGAACCGAACGCCTAAGAGTGCTCGCATCCACTGTAGCATCACGGCACACATTTTTCAGTATTTGCTGAATGTGAATGGTCATTTTACCTTCTGCATTCAAGAATTCAATCACACAACGCCGTCACTTACGAACATCGTTATCTGCCATTTTCAAACGACTGCTGTGCTCCCTCATGATGACGCAATTACTGATTCGGTGGATTGTAGAAAAGGTTTGATTAATAGTGTCAAATTCAAATTTTTCACTTAACTAATTTTATTTCAGTAGTAAAAATAGGAGACATTACTTTATCTCCTCCTTGTACATTACAGAATAATATAATCATACGAGGCCTTCTGCACAATTTTCAACATGGCGCTGAATTGAGTCCTACGTGATAAATCCACAATAATTGGAGGCATATGAGATAACTATTATTCTCGAAACACGTGTATGTCTGTTTATTGTTTATAATATTTTTATTGTAATATACTTGGTGGTGGATACCGCCTGTATTCGTAATTAAGAATCATATTCTACTTAAAATCAGAATATCTAAAACTGATTTCGACACTTTCAGGGAATGAAAACCCCGAAAAATTCGTTAGTTATCGACAAAGCATCACGGCCGATATAGAGATGTCCATTTCCTTCATTTTATGTATTAATAAAAGAGAAAATTTTAGATTTAATGATCATTAACGCAAACATATGTCAAGGGTGAAACATGGCGATACGCAAAACTTCTATTCTAGTAATTCATTCTGGTCGTATTTTTTATATTTTCAAAGAATAATAATGTTAATGACGGATTATAATTTAACTTCGTAATTACAAACCCTCTGCGGAAATAAAGGGCACTGCAACGATACCTCCGATAATGAGATTGTCGAAAATTCACTCACAACCAAAAACAGTTTCTTCCCTCACGTTTTCGGGTACAATTTGTCACGAACGTTGCAAGTTCAATACGAGTAAGCCTGGTTTAAATCTGTGGTATGTGTTAGGGGGGGGGGGCGCTTAACGAGTGCCGCGCGGGTTGCCTAGCTGCAGGGGTAGGGTCGCCTCCGCCGCTGCACGTAATGAACCTGTCTGCGAAAAATCTCAATTGACGAGCGGCGTAGACGCCGCGTTAATTAAAAGAAAAAATTTCCATTGAAATGGCGGTCACTTCTCCAAGACGTTGTGTGCATGACCTTGAAAAATGATCCGGGTTTCTAAGGTTGTTGAAAAATGCCTAAGAGCTTGTATTGTGCTTTAATGGTTCCTTAAAAAATAAATAATTCTCCGAAGCTTGTAGCACGTGTTAATGAATCCTCGCCACCCTCCGCCAATTCGGTTCCTCAGATGTTGGTGCGCGGGAGACTCCCCTGTTCATTCCCGCGCAACTTCGCCGCGGGGCGAGAGAAAGGGTGAGAAGAGACGAATTGCTCGGGCGAGGAACTGAGGGATGGGAGTGGGAAGGGGAAGGGCCATTCTCCTTACACCTTTGATCAACTTGGGGCTGTAAATGCTTGTTTGTTCTATAATTGGATGCATACTTTTTATGGCATCATTACCAGCAGCGTTTTCCACGCAGAAAATATTCCCCGAAGTGATATTACTACTCCATCATTACGTGATTTCTAAAAGAAGCAAGACTTTCTAGCTCATTCGCTTAGAATTAAGGCAAAAAGGAGATACATAAGTACGGCCAGGATAATTATGTAATAACATATTTTCCCAAAGTAACTCTGGCAAGTCGAATCAACCGTATCTTCACGTTTCACATCAGTTAGTGCTAAAAATGTTAATGTTTTAGTACAGATTTTTACATATTTTGCCCTAAAGTACATGTATGGACATATTTTAATCAAAAGAAAAATTTTACACATTACTGAATTTTTCCATTTTTTCTGCAATTCGTTAAATTTAATTTTTCATTTATTCTGTTGATTTTTGATAAGGAGTCTCCCAGTCAAACACGTTTTTTCTGCAGCCTCCTCTCAAATGCCGTTATTGCGTCGTGTTGGAATGGAATACCGTCGTTACTGCAAATAAAAGGGCAAATCGACGACGCGATTCCTGTTCTGGTGTGTTTGTTTTCAGCGTGAGTATAGCACAGAACACAAAGTTTAGTAGGCAATATCGCGCACTCACTTTGCATCTCTCAGGACTCCTTGACCTACCTGCTCTTCACTAGAAAGTATTCGCCCACCTCAGAAGCGCCATTGCCATTTTTCTTTCCCCGATTGTCACAAGCGAACCGCTGCCGTTGTTCATAAATTATCTCTTTGGGCCAAACATCTGAAGAAAAACACGATGTGGCCGTGATGCTTGGATTAAACCTTATGGGGCAGTGGTAACGCTAAGTGAGAATTTAGTTAGCACAGGCAAGTACGGCTGTTTCTGTAGATTTTTGTTTTCGAAATCCATGTTGGCAATATGCAAACGCGTCGTGTTTACTGAGCAAAATTTTTCTGTTCGCACCTAATAAAAAATCTCTAATATTTTTGAAAAAAACTGACAAACGGGAAATTCGCCGAAATTTTTAAATTTCATTTTTCTTGTTCTTTTTGAATAGCGGCTTCATCATATTTTCCCAATTTTCACTACATGATTGTCCTGGCCCTACATGTAAATAAAAGTTCCTACAATTCCAAACAAATGTTACGTCACATAGAAATAAAACAATCTTAATATGCGACGCTTCTTAATCAAATAGCCCTACCGTAAAATGTCTTACACGCAGTTAACCAGCATATTCTGCCATATTCTTGTGTGAATGGAATCAGAGGAATGTGAATGGAAAAAGGAAATATTTCTTACACCTTTGATCAATTTGTGACTATAAATACTTCGCAATGTTATAATTGGATGCATTTTTATGGCATCATTACCAGCATCCGTTTCCATTCAGAAAAGCATCCTTGAAGTAATATTACTGATGAAGATATTACTTGAAGTGATACCATCATTACATGATTTTTAAAAGAAGCATGGCTTTTTGGCTCATTCGCATAGCATTAAGATAAAAACGAGACATATGGGTAGTAGATCTCATATCTTGCAAACAAATGTTACGTCACTTAGATATAAAACAACCTTATTATGCCACGTTTTTTAACCAAATAGTCTTACCCTAGACACGCTTAGACGCAGTTAAGCAGTCTGTTCTGCTATCTTCTTATGTAAATGAGTGACGCAGATACTTCGTTTTCACTTCCATACAATTCATCTTTTGTTTCCGCTTGGCCCAAAGGCCCTCAGCAGTCGAGTATGAACTTGAGGGTCAAGTGAATACAATTCACTTGACCCTCAAGTTTGTCTAAGGAACATTATTCACAGATGAATTCATGAAGTACACGTGGATTGGATGTGCGAAGCCACATCGGATACATGATGATCAGTGGGGTCGAAGAACTGTCGCTGTGGTTTCCGTTTTAGTCTGTTGTGGTGAGGATTTTGTTTTCCGATTGTGAAATGTACGGCTGAGGGAATCTGGGGAATTTTAGGATAGAAGCGAGTAGATAGGAGAGAGAAATGGACTGAGATCGTCAATGATAACGCAAAAGGTAATAAATATTGTTCTTAAATGTAGTAAATTACAACTTCTAACCTACTGTTGTCATCCTGTACCACGTGTTGTCAGAACCCACATTTTGTGGGTCACTGGTACCGAAAAATCGATTGACGAAAAATCGATCCGTCCGACCGTGGTCTGTCGTCTATTCTATCGTGTAACCATTCAGACAATGAAACTCGGAAAGATATATTAATTGAATAAATGAAAAATGAAAGGCGTTTGTTTTCTGAAAGTGTTTATCCTTATGAAATTCGCGTATCATTTCACAAATTTCCAACCAAATTTGCGTATTTCAAATATAAATGTTAATATAATTCAAGCACTAAATAAATAAACAAATTCCATTTCGCAATACGAGGTAATCCAAAGGAATTGTATTCATAAAACTATTAGTTAAAATTTATATCAAAATAGATATCAGTTTTCATGGTCAAAATGATGAATTAACGTGAAAATATTTTTGGGTTGTGTGTAAAATTTTAGCAAAAATAGAGAAAAACAAGAACTATGAGCTCTCAAAAACGACAACACAGATTGAAGAAATTAAATGAGAAATAATGAATATGGTAATGAATAATTTATAAGATGTGTAAAAAATTATTAAACTACTTATGCCTTGATGGTGCGAAGGGTTGCTAGCCGTCGTTTGTTAAAGCCAACCACAGCCCGTACTCGCCACCCTTTCCTTCCTCACGCATCCACTCAAATCTATTTCGTTGGCGACTGCTCAAGAAGCTAACAGTCCCTCCTTCCAAATGTCCAAAGAGGATAGCGACTGCTGAATAACATATCTGTTCACTTTCTCCTTAATT